GTTCCCTGGTCGGGTGGAGGGGAAGTGGCTGCTGTCTGTTGTCTGGGCAACCCCCCTTCAGACCAGGGCTGGGTTAGTGCTGGCTTCCATTGACATTGAATCCACCCCTGGCCTGGATAAAATCCCCAACCTGGAGGGATACTCTCTTCAGGGGGCAAAATTCCCTCTGGAAAATGAGGGGATTGCCTCGGAGGCTGCAACATACCTCTGTCAGTTGATGCATCTTTTTGGCTTCCTCCAACTGGCATCTGTATAGTCTCCTCCCTCCAATCAGACAGAATAGCAATCTGCCTGGGGCTCGAGAAAGATTTCTCTTCAACCAGCTTTGTTATCTCTGGGTTATAACAACTTCTTGAGTTGAAATGCTTCGGTATAGCTCCCAAACCTCTTTCCTCTACTGTCATTCTGAAAGCATCCATCATCTCCTCCAAACAAGGCTTGCAGATTCAATTAATGTTCCGGAGGGAGGGCCCCCATACTCTTCCCCCTGCATATCTCCAACTTCAGCTAATTGTCAATAATTCTCCATCTCAGGAAAAAGAACTCCGGGGTATCAGCCAAGCCCCTTCAAAAAATAAAAGTTTGTCTTGGGAAATAAATGTAAGGCATCCAGAAAGTATCCATGATATCAATCACTCCGAGACATTTCTCTCCAATTGATTTATTTAGAAACAGATCAGGCATGTCAAAGGCAATTTCCCAAGTGAAATTATTTTTGCACATTACACAGAATCCACCTTCTCTCCTCCCTTCTCTCCTCCCACTTCTACACTTCATAAATCACGAGAACCAATTAACTGTCACTGGAATTTCTCAATACTACTTACAGAATAACCTTGAACTTTTCAACTCCTCCAACTCTCTTTAAAAAATATGGCAGCTGAATTTTAAAGCTGACAGTGTGTCTATCAGCCTCCGGTGTTGTAACGATCTGGGTAATGGGCTGTGTGATGACCTTCTGAGTTCTATTGGTGTGACATCCTGAGTCTTGTGCTGTAATCTCCTGGGTCATTGGCTGTGTTGCAACATTCTGACGTTTTGTGGTGTAACCTTCTGAGTTCCGTGATGTGATATCCTGAGTGGATGGCTGTGGTGTAACATTCCGGGTTTTGGTTTGGCTCTGAGTTTGAGGTCTGGCTATGTGTTTATGGCGTGTGTCAGTTTGCTTAGTTTGGGGGTCGGGGTGTGTGGCAGCTGGTGATGAAGCTGTGGTCTGGTTTCTGGATGGTGGTTGCCTTTCGTCTATGGGGTGGGTTTAGGTTTGAGTCTGGTGAGGGAGATTGGTGGGGGCATCATGTTTTGTGTGGGGTCCGGTGTTGGTTTTCGTGGCTGGGACTCATTTGTTGATAAGGGCTAGCTTCTAGATGTCTGGTAGGCGGGAGGTATCATCCTGTTTATTCATGTTATGGGGTTGTTTCTCTATTTCAGTGGTTTCCCTGATTATTCTCTTGTTGAAGTGTTCAGTATTGGAGATTAATTTGGTTCCCTCAAAATTAATTTCATGTCCTGTGGCTTTAAGGTGCTGGAAAAGGGAGGAAGTATTTTCTTCCTTTCTGACTGCGTTCTTGTGTTCTGTGATGCGTGCACTTATTTTCCTGTCCAATGTGTGTGGCTGGGCAATTGTTGCATGGTATTTCATAAACTCCTTGGTTTTCTAGCTGGATCTTGTCCGTGGGGTTTCTTAGGATGTTAGCTATTTTTTGGTCAGTGCCAAAGGCTGTCCTGATATTATGTTTGTGGAGAATTTTGCTTATTTTATCTGTGGTGCCTTTGATGTAGGGGAGGAGGGCGATACCGTTGTCCCGTTCTGTGTCTCGGTTTTTGGGGGGTGTATCCCTTAGGATTAGGTTGGTAATTGTGTTTCTTTGGAATCCATTGGAAATTAATACGTTAGTGAGGGTGTATAATTCTGTTCTCAGGTGGTCTTTGTTGGCTAGGCGTTTGGTTCTGGAAATGAGGGCCTTGGCTATGGAGTTGATCTGTGCAGGGTGGTGATGGGATTGTACTTTTAAGTAGCGGTTGGTGTGTGTTTTCTTCTGGTGGATGTTGTGTCCTAGGGAGCCATTGGGTTTTTTGTAAATTAGGATGTCCAGGAAGGGAAGTTGGTTGTTGGCTTCTGTTTCCATGGTGAATTGTATTTTGGGGTGTAGGCTGTTGAGATGTGTGAGGAAGTTGTCCAGTTTTTCTTTCCCATGTGGCCAAATTATATATATGCAGAGACTTGAGCTTCATGACAGTATATGAAGTTGATTCTGTTATTTCTGAGTCATTGTTTCTTTCCTGCCAGCTTATTGCATAAAAACCACATTCCTCTTGATTCTAAATGCAGTATTTTCCACAGTCTCTGTTGCTGAGATTATTTTGGACTATTTCCAATCAGGCAGTATTTAGGCTGGACAAGATAGTATACAAAGCAAAGCAAGATGTCATGGAAGACAGCATTAACAAATCACCTCCAAAATGTGCCAGGAAAATTGCATGGATTTGTTCATGGAGTCATGGAGTCAAGTTTGTCTTGAGGACATATGTCCAATATTTTAAAGTTAGTCTCTTGGGATGGCCATCTCACTGTTCTTTTTTTTTTCTGAGAGCCAAAGCTATCCATCAGGATATAAGGCAACATTTTTCAACATTTTAATCTAAACGTGTTGTAAACAATGAAATAATTTGTTCAGACTCTTCACAATTGTGAACCATGGGTTAAAAAAGATAACTCTTCTTGCATTTCACTTGTCTGTTTCAGAAAGAACAGACAGGGAGATTATTTCTCCTTCCTCTAGGTAGAACAGTAGGTTCTACTTACCTTCTGTTCTATAGTTAACATTACTGTATTAAACCTTCTTTTCCTCTAAAGCAAGGGTCTTCAAACTTCAACTCCCAGAATTCCTGAGCTAACATGACTGGAGGAGGAATTCTGGGAGTTGAAGTCCACAAGTCTTAAAGCTGTCAAGTTTGAAGACCCCTGGTCTAAAGATATAAAAATATAATTTAAATAGACCTTATATCAGGCCTAGCTGCTGATTTCCACAGTCTAAGCCAGTGATTCCCAAAGTGGGTGGTACCACCACCTGGGTGGCAGTGGGATGCCTTGGTGTGGGTGCTAAGAGGCAAGGGGGGGCACTGGAGGTGGGCCCCTTGCAGGCGCAATTCAGGGGCGGGATTCTACCAGTTCATTACCGTTCCCGGTTGTTTATGTTAACCAAGGATGATTTCAAACTACATATAAGGAATCTGGTAATGGGAAGGTAGATCTTTTGAGTATTTGCTTAGAGTACTGGATAAAATATAGCTGAACATTGGTCAGGGACATATAAGAACTTTGTACAGGACCACAAACCCAAGAATATTTAAATGATTATGGAAAGGACTTGAAATTTTTTTTAACCAACATTCTAATAATTTGGTAAATCATTAGATGTGTTGCCAAATCAGTGTTCTTGTTGCTACATATTTATCTAAACCAAAAGATCATTGCAGTGATTGTCCTATTTTAGGGAGGGGTGGCAGAAGGAAACAAAAAGAAAAAAATAGTCACATAATTATATATTTTTGTGTTCAAAATGAGAAAAGAATGTGTGTGGTTTCAGTTCTGGCCTTGTTTGAATTCCTAAAAAAAGGAGTTCTCTTAAGGAGGAAGCATATATTGGTACCTTGCAGTGTTTTATCATAGGTCACATTAGGGTTGAGATAATGGATGGTTACCAATATATGTTTACTATGACGCTATAAAGACAGGTCATGACACAGTTAAGATTATTGGATGTAATACACTGATAAAAAGCAGCTTCCTTTTATTTAATTCTGAACAGTGAACAGGCATCTTATCTGAAATGTAAGGGATGTTGAAATTATTTGGAAAATACATCAAGGGAACCAGCTGCAAATAGATGAATCCTGATCTGATCTTGCAAAGCAATTCTGATTATCATTCTTCTTTCATCTCTAAGGCAGTCTACTCCAGACATATTGAAATCTATCCTGTGTCTTTGTATCTTTTTAAATAACAATGTCTGGTACATTATGTTTTAAGTACCAGTAAATCTCAACTTTTAAATCCTTAATAAGTAGCAGCAGCAGTAGTAATAGTAGTAGTAACTGTATATAGTAGTAATCGGGAAGTTATGACCTTGAATCTTTGGAGCAGAACAGAATGTCAATTTCCTGTCTACAAGGTTTTTAAATGTTATGCTATCTATTAGTCAATCAAACCAATGTCTCCTGTTCAAGGAAGTTAGGAAAAACCAGGGATTCTTTTTCATATTATGTGAGTCTATTCTTCTCTCCAGACAGTGGCTTCCAATGATATGAGATGTAGAATGTCTACTGGCATGGCATGTGGAGAGGATCTTTTAATGTTATAACAGGATAGAAATGCCCCCACCACCACCAAATTGAACTAAAATCCTCTGCTAGGTTGTTTCTTAAGAGGACACTTGGTTCAGCAATGAAATGAACTTCACACCCTGGCCATGCCTAATAGGTTTTTTAAACACCTCACCAATGGATGCTCACTAACAGAGTACCACTACCTGTTCATCTCTCATTTCAAACAATAATATCTACTTGTCAAAATTCTAGATAAGTATTCAGACTTTTAAAAAAAATGAAAACACAGACTAATTTTATCTCAAGAGACTGACTAACTGCTCCCCCCACAAAAAAAATATAATATTTGGAATGATTCATTCTGTTGTAGTTCAATCTTCTTCTCATCTTTCAGAATACACACCACATGCAGTTCTAGAGCATTCCTTCCCACATTCTCTGCTGACATATTTCTGTGTCAATGTCCCTCCTCTATCCTTCCCACAGGCAACACCAATTGATAGCTTGCAATCTCTCTAGAAGGGCCATCCCCTTTCTCCACCCTGGAATATCTGTTTACCTTCCCTAATGTTATTTGTTCCTCCATATTTATCTGCACCTTTATCCCAGCAACAATGGATCTTCTCTTATTCATCTTCATACTATTTGTGATCTTTCTACTTTACCAATGGAGCATGACCTTCAGATTTCTCTGCAAGTTGGCCTTCATCGGTTGCTGGGTTTTATTCCTGTCTATCACAATATCCCCTTGGGTAGCTGTATTCATTGGACCAAGAGTGGAAAACCTGAAGTGAGTAGATGTTGATTCTAGCTTCAATTTGGGGGATGAGAACAATATAAGTCTTGGCACCAGGTTTTTCTGAAAAATAGGCCAGTGATGGCCAAATTCTTCAGCCTAGGGGACAAAGATTTTCCTACAAAGCAGCATGAGAACCAGTCCCACCCTTCAGATCAAGAAGATAGTAGCCTTTTCTTTCTTCAAGAAACTAGAAGTATGGTGAAAGAGAACGATGGATCTTGCTAGATCATCTTTTTTTGGCCTGATTTATATCCACATTTGTGAGTGATTTATTCAAGACTGGTTGGACAAAGGGAAAAGCAGAAAAGTGGGAGTAATTCCTGCAGAGTGCAAAATTACTTTTCATATTGGTTTAGACTTAATCCACACCCATTTTTCACAAGCCTATCCTTTCAACATACAATAGCATTGAAAAGATTAACAAATTATTTATGTTATGAACTCACGGTTATGGTCTAGTTCATCAGGTGTCTGGAGTGTTTTCCTAGATAACCAGAAATATTTGTATGTGTATGCAGACATGAGAGGCAAGGGGGCACTATAAATGACAATGGTAAAAGAAAATTAAATACAATGTGTATTGGCAATGCCATTACTTTAATGTTTAAATGAAGGTGTTCTAATTTTTACAGTGCCCAATCACAAAGAAGTTTTAATAAGCATGCAAACCTCCTATTATTAAGATGATTAACTCCAATAGTAAAATAAAAATCTTTTGCAGATGCACAATTGAATTGATACAGCTATTGTACTTCAATGTCTTCATTTAATTTATGTTGTGATACCCATTTTAAATTCAATAACAGATGAAACCTGAAAGGTATTCTAATTGATTTCTGAATATTGACTTTATAATGGCAAATTTGTTCCTATTGATTGGTTCCACTCCTTTTTTTAAAAAAAGCCCTAACCTTTTTACATCCTTTTGTTAGATGTAAAAAAAGTCAGGGCTTTTTTTAAAAGGAGGGGAACCTATCAATTAATATACAATACTTTATAATAAAATAAAATTTTATTTCAGCACTGTCGTTGACCAGGTACTCTTTACTAGAATACTGAAGTCAATAGACAAGAAGCATTGAAGAAAGCTTACTTTGAACAAGGATATAAGGAGAAGAATTGTGGCAGGAAGACTAGAGAGGGCTTTTTGTTCAAATAAGCATTCTGTTTTGGGATTCTTAATTGATTGTTCTGCCAATGGATAGTTGAAAGGCCCTTTTGATAGATAATAAGATAAATTGGAAGATGAAATGATAAACAGATTGGATGTTGTGGGGTTGATGCTGTTAAGCCATGTAATATGATTGCTTGGATAGAGATGAAGAGGATTGACAGCTGGATTTATTATATTTTGTTACAGTTGGCTAGCTTGGTTGTTGCCTATTTAAGGTTAAGGAATCGCTTGTGGGTTCTATCAGTCAAGCTTCATGAGAGCGCTTTTAGTAAATTTAAAACATCCCCTCACAATCTTTCTCCCGTGCTATCAAGCTGTCTGGGGAAAACATTTTTTCTTATGTGTGTAGCCTTTGTGTGTGTGTTGTATGGTAGTATGTGTTAGAAGAGATGGATAGATGAGTAAGAAATTGAGCCTGACTGATGTGTGGCTGGACAGAAGGATCCAGAAGAGGAATGTAGTTAGAAGAATGTATATAAAAGAAAAAGAGAGAAAATGTGGAACACCAATAATTTTGGCTGTGTTGTTATGATATAAAAATATACATAAATGAGGCATTATGAGTCTGTGTAATTCAGGTGCATGTGCAATGCAGTCCTTTGGAGTAAATGGTCTCCGCTCTCTAAATTCTTTCTACTCTTTTTGCTGGGTTCTGTCTGAGAGGTAATGACTGAAGTGACCATTTTAATTTTTTTAAAATAATGATTCATAACTAACTAAATATCCTTACGGGGACTCATTTTTCCCCCCTTATCTCACTGTCAAGAGTCCCTATTTGGTCAGTTAGAAAAGAAAGACTCTCAAATCCATTGTTAGCAAAAGTTCACTTTACTAAAGCCAAGTGATTACAGAAGAAGCTAAGCCGGATCTGAGGGTTTTGCATGTAAAGCGTATAGCTATTTTTTCTTTTTTCAACCTTCCTGCTTGGTTATCTTCGAGTGTCCAATTAAATTCTAACAACTTGTTTGGGTAACAGTCCCTGGCTTTGCAGGCTGGATGGTTCTGCATTTTATAGTGTGATCTTGGAATGCCTGGTGGTTCTCACAGGATGGCAAGATGCATAGTTTCAATTCTTCTCATGTATCCCAACCCAAAGCTCTCATTGAGTATGGCAGGCTGGCAGCAAGCAAGCATGGCATAGCAGGATGGTAGTCCTGACATTATGCCTCTCCTGGAAAAGACCAACCCATGGAGTCATTTTCTCCTCCACTGTTGCTCTTGAGGATGACCTCAGTTTTCTTGGTTGGAGTTCCTTTGCCATCACTAGAAGATGGTGTGAACTCTATAACCTCCACTCCTTTCTGCCCCTCCTTCCTTCAGCTTAGGAGGGCCTTTCTCTTTCTTCTTGATGTTTCTAGCAGGAGTGGTTGTTGGCCAATGAGCTAGGCACTCAGCAGTCCAGTGGCCCTTTTTGCTGCTAAAGTATTCAGTAGAACATTGTTGGGGTCTGGAGCATCATCAGGGCTTGGCCCACCCTTATCTGCTTTCAAGGGTTCTCTCTTCTCTGGGGTGTAGGGATTCTACATCTCCCATCCAGTGCATTCATGGAACTTGGTCAGATTGATCACAACCTCACTGGCCAGGATGTACCACCCTTGAAGATTTCTGGATGCTCCCCCCTCCCCCGGACAGGCAGATGTAGTACAGCTCTTGATGCAGCACTTCTCAGAAGTAATCCATCAGGATCAACTTTGGCCCATCCCCTAGTTGACCAACTAGGTGTTGGAATTCCTGAATGTACACTGTAATGGGTCGTTTTCTTTGCCTGATGATAAGTGGCAGCACACTGATCAGCCAGGGGGTCATCAAAAGTCATCTCAGGGAGCACATGAAATAATGTAGCAGGAGGGAAGTCCTGGAGAGCTAGACTAGAACTCTGAAATTCATAATGGCCAAATAAAATATGTATTTCTCAATACAAACTTAATTATCTCAGAAGAATGTATTACACATCTTCAGTCCTTTGTGCATTCTCTGATAAGCAAGTATTAAGCAAATTCAGAAATATCCACACCTAAATAACATTTGATTAGAGCAGATAGAATTGTATATAGCAAATCTATTGCATGCCCTAAAGGGAATAACAAAGGATCGCTGAATTCTTGCTGGCTCACTTGGAGTTCTAGAAGTATTTGATGTTGAAATATGAAGAACAAATAATAAAGACAAAATTCTAAAACATTCCTCCATTTCTTTGTTTCCCTTTTTGGAAGCAAGCAAGAGCTTGCAGTCTGATCTGGAGGAGGGCAGGTGGGGAAGTAAGCTTTTTAATAGTTTCTTCTTAATTTAGATCTGTTGTTCTTGTCATTTGTCCATGTCCTTTTCAAACTTATTTTACTCCCCATTGGAAAATCTGTGGCTAGGTTTGTGCAGTACACTAAACCCTGCTTGAACTTAGTCTGTTTTTTTCCAGGTGCACATAAGGCAGGTAAACTTACATCATATGATAAATTAAAATGTAATTGGAATTGATGGATTGCATGTTACGTGAAAACAATATTACTATAATTTTACAGTCAGGCAGGAAATGTCTTTATAATATCTTTAGTCTCAAGTGTCAAAATAACTTGAACAGTTCTGGACCACTCTATTTTGTGATATCCTTTGTTCAGCTCATCAACAGAAGAAATCCAAGAAGAAATCAGCATCACTGCACAAAGATCTCCCTGACAAATTGAAAGACAAAAAGGACAAGTTCAAAAAATGGAAAGAGGGACATATAACTAAGGCAGAATATCAGCAGATAGCCAGAATCTGCAAAGATGAAGTCAGGATAGCAAAGGCTCAGAATGAACAAAGACTTGCAACAAAAGTCAAGATAATAAAAAATGTTTTGACAAGAACTTTATGATATTCCCCAGTTTTCTATCCTTACACATAATCCTTAATTTATTATCACAATTGAACCTGAAATTTTGGTTGAAAATTGATGCACCCACATGACTGTTTCACTCAATGAGCATAATCTTCACTTTCCCAGTTGCAGTCATTAAGCAATTATGTGGGTCATTAAACAGAACATGGGGGTCCTTCAGAGGGTCGGAGAACATGGGAGACTTGTTGCAGGAGGTCAAGCTGGGAAAGTGCTGAAAACTATAACTGCCCCAGCTCAGCCCTGCAGCACCTGTTAGCAACATGGCCAGGCTTGGATCTGAAATATAATAGAGGCCTAGGACCTTTAGCAGTATCTGCCAGTTGCCACCATCCCAGGCCTCTCTTCATCTTGCCCTAGCATTGCTACCACAGCTCACAAATATCATCTTGCGCCATTCTCCACTGACCTTGCTGTTCAATGCTCCTGAAGATCAGCCACGTGCTACATACCATCATGCATTTTTCTCCTGCTGTGGAGAGATTTGCATGGCCCATCTGAGGCAGTTCCTCTTTGCACAAGGCCTTCATTCCTGGAGGTGTTCAATCAAGAGTTTGCATGGAGCCACCAAAGACTTCCCAAGTTGTGCAGAAGCCACTTCCAAAGGTTCCAGAAGTCTGACATGGCCTTGGAAAGCCTTGGAAGACATTGGAGAACCTTGCAGGCTCTGTGAGAATTCATGAGCATGGAGGTACTTCATTTCAGGCAGAGATTGTAACGCACTTATTAAGAACCATTCTCCATTGTCCTGTAATTTTGAATGGTTGTTGAATGGATGTCTGTTAGTCAAGGACTACCTATATAAATATATTGCAATCTTTCATAGGTTGATTAGTATTAAGGAAATTTGCTTTCAAAGCAAAAGAAAATTTTATTTTAAATGGAAGAGTTGGGGAAAGTATAGCAGGACCATCAATCTAGCATCTGTCTGTCTGTCTATCAGATTTTAATCCTGCTTTTATTACTTTAAAATAACTCAAGGGAGCAAACATATATAATACTTCCTCCTCCTGTTTTCCCCATAATGACAACTCTGTGAGATGGGTTTAACATGCTACATCCCATCATCACCACATGATACAGTTTTTTAAATACATTTCCTACATACAGATTTTTTTAATCAATCAGACAATATAGAAAAGAGAGGAAATCATAGAAGCAATGATAGAAAGAACACCTTGATGCAATTTAATGATCAGGAGGTTGAGTAATGAACAATGATTAAAAGTGTGCTGGACACAGTACTAACTGTGATAAAAGTACAAAAGTCTTGTAAACAGAAAGACATTTAAACATTGTATGCTTGCGGTCAAATACAGGTGAATCTTAGTTGAGCTTTGTAGGAGAGATTTTAATCTCTTCAGTGATGGGGGAAAGATCCAGTAACATTGAGGAGGCATTGAAATAATAATGGAAAATCAGGGAGGGGAAGGAACAGGTTGGAAGAAATATGAATGCATGCTTGTATTTTTCTAAAACCCAAGATGGTCATAAATAAAACAAGGGAATGAGAAAAGGCTTTTCTTTTACAAGAGTAAGAAATTAACAGAAAAATATATATGCCATATAACATTTCCATAACATAGGTAAGCATTAAAGGAGGACAGAATGGCAAAATATCAAGAGATTGGTAGCACTTTTTCATAAATACATAAAGTGACTCAATTGATGTATGTTTTAAATTGGCCACTAGCAAAATCAATGGATAAATTAATAGAGCCAGATCAATTTCCAGGGAAATCTATTAAAGGACAGACCACAGAAACAGAATATTAGAAGCAAGATATTGCAGGTTATCATGTACAATTCAAACCATTCAAATACATTATGAATAGTTTATAGCTCATGCTGTACAATAACATGGCATTTTCTCAAGCACTGAATGGGCATACTAGCATATAACTATCCAGCCTGGTTTTTTTTTTCAAAATCAACAAGTTTAAAAATTGTGTGCTTGTGGTCAGATATAGGTGAATCTTAGTTGAACTTTATAGGAGAGGTTTTAATCTCTTCAGTAGTGGGTGAAAGATCCAGTAATGTTGATGAGGCATTGAAATAATAATCAGGGAAGGGAAGTCAAGGATAGAGAAACAGGTTGGAAGAAATATGGATGCATGCTTGCATTTTTCTAAAACCCAAGATGGTCATTAATAAAACAAGGGAATGAGAAGAGGCTTTCTTTTGTATAATATAAGAATACTTATATTATATAAAAGTTATATACATACTTGCAAATAACTATCCAGCCTGATTTTTTTTTTCAAAATCAACAAGAAAAAAGATAATGATGCCAATATGATAACCAGTTCCTGCAAGCAGATACCTTCTTTAATTTGTCCCCATGTATACTAAGAACACCATCACTGAAGTCGATGCTATGACCTGTTGCTTTCATGTGTTGGACTAGTGAGGAAGTGTGTTCCAGCTTTTTTACTGCATTTTTGTGTTCATCCAGGCGGGTACTTATTCTTCTATTGGTCTGTCCAATGTGGCAGGGCATGATGCACAGGGGACTTCATATATGCCTTGGTTTTCCAGGTCAATTTTATCTTTGGGGTTTCTT